AATTAAAAAAATTGTATCGTTAAGATTAATATGCAGTTAGGAAGTTTTATAATTACTATTTATAGTAAATTTATCAAAGTAGATCAATTTTTTTTTTAATTTTTATCGTAATAGATAACATAAATTCAAGTAATAGTATTAACTTCCTAGTAACTTTTGGCGTTTGAAAAGATTCTGCAATTGAAATATTCAGAACTTAATTAATTTTAATGATTTACTTTAACTAAATGAACCAATCAAAACAAAGTTGTTAAAAAGATTTACTCAATTGAGCGTATAATACAATTTGATTATAATTGTAAAAATCCACTGTCAATTCAGGAGAAACTAACAATCATTTTTTTTAGAAATTATTTATATAGCAACATGTTACCAAAAAATTTGTAATATTATAGTCTAGTAGTAGCACACACAAATAGAGTAAAAAAATTATTAAATTACAAAGTAAAATGATTAAATTTTGTAGTTGAAACCTAGCATATCAAACTTGATTCGTCAATAAATACTTTGAAAACATTAGAAATTAATGATTTTAATTGTTAGTATGGAGGAAATGGAATAACTAACTGTTTAATTGATAAATTAAAATATTTTTTCAATTTTTGAGGGTAATATCTTCAACCTAGATACGAATTGTAGTCATTTGACGTATCGTTGAAAAAAATAAATAAAAAATTTGTTACTTATGAATAAATACACTGGACTACAAGAAACTTTCATCAGAAGCAAAAATTTACTTTTCTTAATCAACTCTCGCGTTGTTTTCAAATCTGCAATTAGACTTTTTCTATCAGTTATACATTTTTATATTATACTAATTACATATAAAATAATAATTAAAAAAAAAAAAAAATTGTTTTCAAATTATTACTGATTTGATTTTTAATATGTTAAAAATATGCAGTCAGGAAATTTTATAATTACTATTTATAGTAAATTTATCAGAGTAACTCAATATTTTTTTGCATTTTTATCGTAATAGATAACTTAAATAGAAATAATAGTAATCATTTCATAGTATCTTTTGGTGTTTAAGAAGATACTACAATTAAAATATGAACTGAATTAATTTTAATGTTTTACTTTAACTAAAATAACCAATAAATAGATACGAATTGTAGTAATTTGACGTATTGTTGAAAAAAGTAGGTCAAGTTAGAGCAGAGAAAATAAATGATATTCACAAAAAAACATCTCGGCTTTGCATCGAAGCTAAAACTTAAAATATAGTAAAATAATTTTAATACGAATAAGAAATTTCTTCTTGCAAGGGGCGACTAAAGTGATGGGATCATTGATCTTTATTGAAGTTATTGAATGTAAATGAGATAAAAATCAAACGAGTTAAAAATTTATACTAACTTAAAAAGAATTAAGAAAAAATGCAAAAAATTCATTGCCAAACGCGGATTGGAACCTCGTACCCCAAGCGATTAAAACATAAATTCTACCAACTCGGCAACCGTACGTCGCTACCGTCGGGTGAAAAAATAGGCTATTTAAGCTAGTTCAAATTTCAAAGTTATTTTTCTCGACTTAAAAGAAGCAAACAAATTTAAATAAGTTTAACTTTCTATGCTATATTAATTT